TCACTGGCTTTGTTTCCTCGGAGGACTCAGGGAAACGAAAATAATCTTCAAGAAATCACCCTCCAAAATATTCTCGAGGGAAGGAGCCTGAGGGTAAGCAAAGGAAGAAGAGTTCCTATAAAGGGCCAAGCTCAAAAGGTAAGGCCCCAAAACTTGGCGGATGCTTATTGTGTGGAGGGCCGCACATGATGAGGGAGTGCCTATAGAAACATACACTCAATGCCTTAACAACTTCAATTTATCCCCCTAAATCAGACAAGGGCAAGGCTGACCCCGGATTGCCTAATTTATTACAATCTACTCATATGGACCTTGTTGATGCTATGGTATATTTTTCAGTTCACAATGTTACCTCATAGTTTTCAACTCAGCCCACTTAAGTATGACCGCTCATGAGCACATTCTTTGGATAAAGTTACAGCTATTTTAAGTTGCTTTACTTTATGACCAAGGAATGCATTAAAAAAGTTAGATACCAACTATAAAACATTTAATTTCAAAATTCCCTATAAAAGGTTGTTTCATGCACTAGTACTTATTTTGGCGTTTAGGGGTTAGAAAGAACTTTAGAAACTGATGATATTGGCAGAAGGTCTCTTGGAGTGCTCTCTTAAACTCTGTATGGATGCATCCTTAAGTGGTGAGTTTTTTGTTTTTAGTTCTGTATCTTTGTTTATTATCCTTGGGGTGGTGATCTATCTGTATCCCTTTGTGATTTTAAATTTGGTAGTGAGCTTTCTTTTCAATCTTATTAAAGTTTTATTATGAGTTTGTTTCTTTCCACTAACGGCTTTCTTCCGAAATCCATTCTGCATTACCCCCTGATATCAGTTTGGTATTAGAGCTAAAGCTTAGAGATCATGGCAAGATGGAATGGAAAAGATATAGTTGGTGAAGGTAGTGGCCATGAAAATGATGTTGAGTCGTTGAGGCTGCAGCTACGAAGATTGCTGCATAGTCTACAAGAAAAAAATGAAATAATTGAAGAACTTCGAAATAGAAACAACCAGCATGAAATTGATGACCATGAGTTTACTTCTGATGATGATAGACCTTTGCATCCAAGGGAGTCGAGAAGATTTCGTAGTCTAATGTCTACGAGTTTGGCGGCACTACCTTCTCAGATCGCGATTTGTGCTGAGGACGGAGAACATCGCTTTGAGTTACTTCCAAACTCAAAAGAAACTCTTCCCAAAGCAAGCACGATAGCAGGACTTCCTAGCTGAATTTGATATGACAATGGAGTACAAGCCCGGAAGAGCAAATGTCGTAGCCGATGCGTTGAGCCAGAAAGTAGAGTGGGTGAATGCCATGCGGTTGGAGGGCAGAGGCCAAGCAAGTCAGCTGCACTGCAACTTCCTTTCCAGGATCAGAGATGGACTGTATAGTGATCCCCAAGCAAAAACCCTGATGCACCTAATCAAAGAAGACAAGACACGACGATTTCGGGTCCAGGAGGGACTCGTCTACACAAAAGGGAATAGAGTTTATGTTCCTTGCGTGAACTCTTGAGAGAGTGTCACGATTCCCTTTGGGCAGGACATCCGGGCATTCATCGAACATTGGCTCTCATGGAGAGGGTCTTCTATTGGCCGAAGATGGGGACCGATGTTGAGGAATATGTTCGAATATGCCTTACTTGCCAACTAGATAAGGTGGAGCAGCGGAAGCTAGTGGGAGTTTTGGAGCTGTTGCCCGTATCAGAAAGGCCGTGGGAGAGCATTTCCTTGGACTTCATATCGAGCTTGTCGGTAGTAGGGGGACTCGGATCGATACTCGTGGTGGTCGATTGATTTTCAAAATATGCAACTTTCATTGCTGCACCTCTACACTATTCAGCAGAGGAGGCGGCCAAGCTGATGGTGAAGAATGTGGTAAAGTATTGGGGAGTCTCGCACAATATCATCAGTGATCGAGACGCTCGGTTCCTGGGACGATTCTGGACCGAGCTATTTAAATTATTGGGGTCTAAGTTATATTTCTCCACAAGCCTCAACCCCCAAACGGATGGCCAAACTAAAAGGATAAACTCGCTCCTTGAGCAATATCTTCGGCACTACGTGAGTGCCAACCAACGAGATTGGGTGAAGCTGTTGGACATAGTCCAATTCTCCTACAACTTGTAGCGGAGCTCTACGTCCAACAAGAGCCCCTTCGAGATCATTATAGGACAACCGTCGACTCCTCACACCTTGGCTATCGGGTATACTGGGAGTAGTCCATTAACATATCACTTTGCAAAATAATGGCACCGAAATGCAGATATTGCGTGGGCTTACTTAGAGAAGGCGACCAAAAAATTGAAGAAGTGGGCAGACTTAGAAAGGCGACTGCAAGAGTTCAAAGTCGGCGATTTGGTGTTGGTGAAGCTCCAACCAGCATCATTCCAATTCTTTAGGCACAAAGTACACAAAGGATTGGTGCGCAAGTATGAATGACCTTTCCCAATTATCAATAGGGTGGGCAACATCTCCTATAAGTTGCAACTACTGGCATGGCTCAAAATTCATAATGTTTTTCACGCTAGCAATTTAAAAGTCTCTCACTCAGATCCGCAAGATGCTTCCCGAAGTGTTCCAACTCGGCTACCCCCAACCAGAGCCTCCTACGAGAAGTGAGTTGAAACCATTTTAGCAGATCGCAAGATAAAGCTACCAAATGGAGTTGAGCTGATCGAGTACTTGGTGAAGTGGCGAAAGCTTCCCTGAACCGAAGCCAGTTGGGAGCTCGAAGATGCCCTACGACATGAAGCAGTAGTCATAAAAAACTATCAACAAGCGTCGATGAGGGCATCGATAGTAAGTGAGGGAGACTGTCACGAACGGTCATCACGCACCCGCAACAACTTTGTTCAACGAACCGTTCATCGCTTTTGCATGCTTGTACATATACATGACAGCATGTTTTGCTTTGGTTTTGTGTTTTGCTTGAAAAATGTAAGCAACGATAGGTAGTGCTGCAATGCGATCGCTCGTCGCGTCGGGCCAAACTGCCCCAAAATGGCTTAGTTTTCGCGTTCCATGACCTGTTTTCTGTAGACCGCACCCTCACGCAAAACGTTAGCCATCTCAGCACCCTGGAAACCCCCGGGTGGCACCAGGGGTAATGGGGCTTCGGGGTAGTGTTGGGCGTTAAACAATCTTCACAAGTTCGCACGTTAACTTAATGAGAACTTACCTTTGTACCCAACACCCGGTGAGCAGTTGTTTGCGGACTTGCAACTGTTCGTGCAACCCTCTATAGTCCCTGTTTTCTCCTTCCTCTCTTTTCTCTCTTGCACTCAAGGTGCTCGCTAAATTGCTTGTAAAGCTTCCCTCTTCGCGAGACGTCGGGACTTGTCCGTCGCTCGTTTTCAAACTAATCATCTTTTTATTTTACAGGTCCTTTGGGACTTGTATGAGGTTTGCAATTAAGCTGACTCTTTACGGACGTATATGTTGCAAAGGCGTCTCATGACTTAGGCAATATCAGCTAAGTCCGAGGAGTTGGCACAAGGGTGCTTTACGACTTAGGCAACTCCAGCTAAGTCCGTGACTTTGCCCCAAGGGTGCCTTACGACTCAGGCAATTCTAGCTATGTCCGTGACAAGGCGGTATCATTCGGTATTGTAATATGTGATATATAGGCGTACCGCTCGGTACACCTGGCGTACCACTTGGTACGATGTACTATAAATAGCAAAGCTTGATACACTGGTACGGTACAAAATTTTAAACATTGATGTGAAGAATGCTATACTAAGCTAGCATGTTACTGGCATGGCATGTGCCAGCCAAATTTAAGTCATGATCATTTATCATAGGAGGTTTATTTAAATTGGTATGTGGTGAATTAACATATTGTTATCTTGGGGATGTGCTGTTGTTGCATCTTACCAATTTGAGAACATCATTGTGATTAATTTGGATAATATAGCAGGTGCAAAAGATATAAGGGTTATGAGGGAGGACTACAGTTTGAGCCAAAGGCTTATGAGAGTACAGATTTCATTTTACTGTAGATTATGGTAGTAACCATGAGCAATGACTTCAGTTTGAGTCAAATGTTTATTAAGTTAGGGATCTTTGATTTACAAAAGATCATGGTATAAACAATTTTTTTTTTCTCATGACTTCTTAGTATTGACCTTGACAATGTTCAAAGGAAGAACTTAACAATAATGATGTATTTTCAAATAAGAAGGGTCATATGAAATTATAGCTCAAAGGGTCATTATTCGTTAAGTTAAAGAAATTATTGCTCAAATGTTTTGCACTTGCATAGTCTTATTAAGTTGAAAGACATTATTGCTCAAATGAAATGCTAGTTTCAAAAGGAACCTATTGCTCAAATATAATTCTAGTATGATAAGCAGTTTCTGATTCAGTAAAAGCAACTGTTGATTAAAATAAAATAATAAAGCTTGTGCTTGTAAATCCTAATAAATAATACTATGATCCATTCTACCATCTTGTGCATTTTTATGCTGTAGGTCTGACTTGCTACAAGACTGTTATCATGCAAGATTTTTATACTATATAAGAGTTATTGGAGAGCAAAAGTTATGCACAGCTGTTAAGAGATGATTAAATTGTCATGTGAATCCTTTAAGAAGTTGAATTAAGCTAGGTGTCAAAGTCGGTCAATTTAATTCTCACATTAGGTATATAAACAGTAGTCGTTGATGGCAATGTGAATTTAGGGGAGAAGTGTTTAGATGATATGGAAGTTGGCATCATGTCTATAAAAAAAAGAAACATTATATTTATGAGATATAACAAATCCAATTTAAGGAAGAAATTCTTGGGAAGAAAAACAGAATAATATTTTATTTCAATCTGTAAAATTGATTGGACCAATGCACAGAAACACTGCTGGTTCATAATATTATTATTTAATGACATGCATGTTTCAGATACTTTAGATTTATATTCAAGATCATGTTGATTGGGTATCTAGTGTCGAAGTTCTTATGGAAAATTTTCAAAATTTCAATCAAAGTTATTTTGTCTTGACTGTAGGCACCAGAGTTGCTTGCAACGTTATTTAACATAGGTACACATGTCTGCCCTAACTTTTGTTTCCATTTCAGAATTTAATATGAACTTCTTTCTTTTGGTTATTTCTGTACTCTATCGTATTAAAATTGCTTTGTCTGGAAGATCCGGTGTTATTGTATGGTCATAGCATGCAAGCTCATCGATTTGGCAAATCCTGAAATTGGAAAATCAGGATGCAATGGCTTCTTGAGTTTTAATTGCATTTAGAGAACATGAACTCATGGTAATTAAGCAGCATCACTAACTTATCGATCCCAAACTACATTTGTTTAATAACTAAACATAATAAAGAATGATGACGATTTAATGTTAAAGAAAATGGAAGGTACTAGTACGAATTCGTGAACCACATTTGTTGTTTAATACAAAGGATAAAGAGTAAGAAGTATAAGTTAACTATGTCTTCTTTAATCAACATTTGTACGAGCCAATTGTATCTACATGATTTAGCCAGATATTTTTATTTTAAATTGTTGAATCTCGGATTTTGATGATGAAACCAATTGATAGTGTTTATGATTTGATTTGCGTTTTGAGTGACGCAGGATGCTTCGATCAGGGTGAGACAATTAAAGCAGGAAGAATCATGTAGGGTCGGAGGAAAACATGTCAGAAGATTGGACGTTGAGCTGAAGGATCGGTCGACATATCGGCAGAAGGCTTCGAGCCATGAGTTCGGGCATCGGGCCAAGAAGAGCGAAAATTGCGCCAAGTAAATCGGAGTTGCGGAGGTCAACTGGTTGATTGAGCAATAGGCTGCAAGAGAGGGCGATGCGTCGAAGATTCGGACGAAGCGCCGATAAACCAATGACATGCCGGACAAAACTTGATTTGCTTTGTAATAATTGTCTAGATCGAAGTAGGTTTTATGTGTGCAGGATTAACTACGATAGAAAGACATAAAGCAAAATGAAGTCCCGGAGTCAAGAACGCGATTTCCTTGGGAGTTCGAGAGTTCGTCGGAAGTCCGGATGTTCGTCGGAAGTTCTGCTGGAATTGACCGAGAAGTCCAGGAGCTTGCCAAAAAAGCTCGTTGGAACTCGCTAAGAAGATCGTCGTGAAGTCTAGGAGCTTGTCGGGAGTCCGCTGGAACATTGCCGAGAGATCATCGGAAGTTCGCCGAAAGATTGTCGGAAGCTCGCTGGAAGAAACCTAGACTTACGGACTTGTTTAGCTTAGTAAATGTCTTAAATTTCGTAGTTAGCACATAATTAGGATTGGAATTGGGCCAACCCAATTAGGGACCAGTTGGGCTCATGTATAGACTGTGTTGGGCCCAATGAAAGGCCCAAACAATGACCCAACAGGTGGCACCGTCGTGGCACAGTCTCCAAGACTGTGTCAGGCGGTGGTATCACCAGTCTGGGCGGTGGTACCGCCCAGACATAGTCTCCTAGGCGATGGTACTGCCCAGCGACAGTGCTGCAAGCGGTGGTACCGCCAGGACCTGGGAAACCCGGGATGAGACAGTTTTAGGTTCCAAGTTTGAATCAACTTAAGGCCTATAAATATCCCTCTCATCCCTGGTTAACTTACACAAGCACAGAGAGCTTAAAAGTGGGAAAACACTGTTGCAATTACTTGAGAGATACCCTCCTCTAGTCTAAGTTTAGAATTTTGTTTAGGAGGAGTGAGTGCTTGTAAAGGTTGTCTCCTAAACTTGTGAAAAGAAGAAGAGAGGTGTAAAAGGTGGTTGGTCTTCGCCTATTGAAGGAAGACTGATAGTGGATGCCGATGGCTTCGACGGAAGAGGAATCAGTGGAGTGGATGTAGGTCACGACGACCGAACCACTATAAATCGGTTTGCATTCTGTTTTTAATTCTCATATTGCAAATTGATTTACTTATTTTGCTCATTACATTCTTGCAAACGTTTTAAAGTTAAACACCTTCCGAGATCGATTTTAATCGTACGAAGATTTTATGAAACCGACGTTTTTACCGCTGCACTAATTCAGCCCCACTGTAAGTGCCGACTCGTTCTTAACAATTGGTATCAGAGCCATGTTTTTCTCGTTTGGTTTAACACCTAAAGAGAAATGACTCTTTTCGGTTTTCAAAAGGGTCACTCTCTCATTCGTTCTCCCATGTTCAATGAGACGGACTTCAAATATTGAAAAACTCGAATGAGAGTTTTCTTTCTTTGTTGAATCTCGATTTATGGAATATAAACAAATTTAGTTTTCAAAATTCTTCTCTTCCAATGAACGATTGGAATAAGTTGGAGAAGAAGACTTTTTCTTTAAATGCAAAGGCTATGAATGTCTTATTTTGCACTTTAGACAAAAATGAATTTAATCGAATTTCTATGTGTGAAATGACTTTTGATATTTGACACACTCTTGAAATCACACACGAAGGCACGAATATAGTAAAAGAGTCTAAAGTCAATCTGTTAATGCATGATTTTGAACTTTTTCGAATGAAGCCAAGCGAAACCGTTGTTGACATGTACACCCATTTTACGGATGTCGTCAATGGTTTAAAAGCTCTTGGTAAAAGTTTTTCGAATTTTGAACTCGTTAATAAGATCTTAATATCTCTTTCTAAAAATTGGGAATCAAAAGTAACAGCAATACAAGAATAAAGGATTTAAATAAATTTTTACTTGAAGAATTTATCGGGTCCTTCATGACCTATGAAATAACTCATGATGCACTTGACGAACATGAGAACCACCTTCCAAAGAACAGGAAGGATTTGACACTTCGAACAATAGAATACCACTCGAGTGATGACTCAAGTGATGATGATGATGACCTTGAACTTCTCACAATAAATCTTAAAAAACTCTTAAAACAAGAATCAAAGAATAAAAACAAACTTAAAAAGAATGCAACTACTTGCTATGAACGCAAGAAGAAGAAAGCACTTTAGGACGAAACGAGTACCTCCGAAGAAGAGGAGCAAACCGATGAAGACGAAACAACAAACTTCGCTTTGGTGACTCTCGACAATGAGGTAAAATACTCAAACAAAACCCCCTCAGTTTATTTTGAAATTACTTGATGCATTTCATATGTTGCTTTTAAATTAGTATATAAAATATAAAATATAAATAAATAAATAAAAGGGGATCATGCTTTTCCTTTTCTAGCTAATTTTGAAAATGAGAATGATAATTGCATGCTTTATAAAAATACGACAAAATATTAGATTTAAATCTAATCCTATGTATGTTTTTAAGAAAAAATAATGTGTATCTAAATTGATGATTTTCGATTTTGATTGAAAATAATTTATGAAATCATGTTTGATGATATCATGCTTAATGAGTTTATAATTTGAAATTATGAATGTTATACCTTGAAAACTTGAAACCATGTTTTGATTTCATGCCCAAAGTAGTGATGCATAATGATCATGCTTAATAAGTTTAAATTTCGAAATTATGCATGATGATTTTTATGATTTATGGATTATCGATCTTTGCCGTAATGAAAGTTTCTTTTCGGTTTTAAACGTTGATGCATGTTTTTATTTGGCATAAATGAAAAAGACATGCTTCTATAAAATAAATCACATGAATTGAAACAACTAAAAAGAGAAGCATTTTTCTTGAAAATTTTTTTTTCTCTATCTTATCGATTTTTCACTAAGAGATTGATAAAATTGTTTATGTTATTTTGAATATCTTAAAAGTAATTTTGATGATTTAACGATTTGAATTTGAATGAGCTTTATCTTGATTTTAAGAGATTTATAACTTGAGATTTCTTATGCATGAATCAAGATATTATATCATTTGATCTCCTATGTTTCTTTTTGCCATTTATAAAAGGAAGAGATTTGTTGAAATAAATCATGCCTTGTGATATTTATGATTTGATATTAATATCTTTCATGTCATGATTTTCATATGACACCTTTGTATTTTTATGATGACTTAAACATTTACACCATTATGTTCTTCCCTTTTTTTTCTTATTTACAATGATAAAAGGGGGAAAGAAAATAGCTAGCATCTCAAGAGAATCAAATTTGCTAGCTTGAATAATAAACTTAGACATGTTATAGCTCCCAAATGCATAAATTATTTTTATACATTTTTTGGGTCATGATCTTGATTTCTCGAATTTTGGACTTGATCTCTTATTTTTTATGATTGAAATAATGATTGGAATATTGATGTAATTATGAATGATGATTTGTGCATGCAATGATGAAATATTCATGATGAAAAATTGTTTTGACATTTATGACTTGATTTTTCATCTTTGTTATTTATCCTTGTCATGATTTGAAGATTGTAGTAAAGGGAAATGAATTATACTATTGTATTATTATTCCCCTCTTTTTGCCAATGATAAAGGGGGAGAAAGAATTGCTAGCGTGCACATAATGAAAAGATAAACTTGCTAGCTTGCTGCTCTCATCTCAAAAGAGAAGCAAGAAGTACTATCTTGTAAATCTCAAGAGAAATAATGTTTGCTAAGTTACATTTCAAGAAGATGCAAAAATAGTCTATCTTTCGCTTCTTAAAAGATGTAAAATTTTGCTAACTTTCATATGTGTAAAATTGCTAGCTTGCATAATCTAAAATGATATAAATTTGCTAGTTTGCATGTTCTAAAATATTGTAAAATTCACTAGCTTGTATGATGTAGAACTTGCTATCTTGAACATCACTAAGAAGTGATATCTTGCCTATCTCAAGAAGCAAAACATACTAACTTGTACATCTAACAAAATTTACAAACTTGCAAAACTCAAAATTTTTGCTAGTTTTCATGTAAAATGATGTAAAATTTTGCTAGCTTGCGCTTTGCCAAGGAAGCAAAAAATTGCACTTCTCAAAAGAGAAGAAAATTACTAGCTTGCATGATGATAAAACTGGAGATTATATTTATTTTGCAATGATTTGAACTTGTATGTCTAAAAACTTGATAGTTGCATTTCTCCTTTTTGTTGATGACAAAAGGGGAGAAGTATAATGTTATGCATAAGTTTATGATAACATGTTGCTTGGATTTTTGAATCCAAGAGTTCTATCAATATGACATATTGATAGGGGGAGTTTGTTTAAACTCCGTCATCAATTGGTTGTCATCATAAAAAAGGGAGAGATTATTGAATCTCGAATTTTGATAATGAAACCAATTGATAGTGTTTATGATTTGATCTGCGTTTTGAGTGACGTAGGATGCTTCGATCAGGGTGAGACAATTAAAGCAGGAAGAATCATGTTGGGCCGGAGAAAAACATGTCAGAAGATTAGACGTCGAGCCGAAGGATCGGTCGACGTATCTGCAGAAGGCTTCGGGCCAAGAAGAGCGGAAATTACGCTAAGTAAATCGAAGTTGCGGAGGTCAACTGGCCGATTGGGCAATAGGCCGTAAGAGAGGGCGATACGCCGAAGATTCGGACGAAGCGCCGATAAACCAATGACATGCCGGACAACACTTGATTTGCTTTGTAATAATTGTCTAGATCGAAGTAGGTTTTATATGTGCAGGATTAACTACGATAGAAAGACATAAAGCAAAATGAAGTCTCGGAGTCAAGAACGAGATTTCCTTGGGAGTTCGAGAGTTCGTTGGAAGTCCGGACGTTCGTCGGAAGTTCTGTCGGAATTGATCGAGAAGTCCAGGAGCTTGCCAAAGAAACTCGTTGGAACACGCTAAGAAGATCATCGTGAAGTCCAGGAGCTTACCGGGAGTCTGTTGGAACATTGCCGAGAGATCGTCGGAAGTTCGCCGGAAGATCGCCGGAAGCTCGCAGGAAGAAACCTAGACTTACGGACTTGTTTAGCTTAGTAAATGTCTTAAATTTCGTAGTTAGCACATAATTAGGATTGGAATTGGGCCAACCCAATTAAGGACCAGTTGGGCCCATGTATGGATTGTGTTGGGCCCAATGAAAGGCCCAAATAGTGACCCAACAGGTGGCACCGTCATGGCACAGTCTCCGAGACTGTGTCAGGCGATGGTACCGTCAATCTGGGTGGTGGTATCGCCCAGACATAGTCTACTAAGCGGTGGTACCGCCGGACTGGGCGGTGGTACCGCCCAGTGACAGTGCTGCAGGCGATGGTACCTCCCAGCACAGGCGGTGGTACCGCTAGGACTCGGGAAACCCGGGATGAGACATTTTTAGGCTCTAAGTTTGAATCAACTTGAGGCCTATAAATATCCCTCTCATCCCTGGTGCGCAAAGAGCTTAAAAGTGGGAAAACGCTATTGCAATTACTTGAGAGATCCCCTCCTCTAGTTTAAGTTTAGAATTCTGTTTAGGAGGAGTGAGTGCTTGTAAAGGTTGTCTCCTAAACCTGTGAAAACGAGAAGAGGGGTGTAAAAGGTGGTTGGTCTTCGCCTATTGAAGGAAGACCGATAGTGGATGCCGGTGGCCTCGACGGAAGAGGAATCAGTGGAGTGGATGTAGGTCACGACAATCGAACCACTATAAATCGGTTTACATTCTTGTTCTGCTTTTAATTCTCATATTGTAAACTGATTTACTTACTTTGCTCATTACATTCTTGCAAACGTTTTAAAGTTAAACACCTTCCGAGATCAGTTTAAATCGTACGAAGATTTTACGAAACCGACGTTTTATCTTATTGTTTTCTTTTTCATTACATTCTTATTGTTTTCTTTTTCTTTTTCAATTTACCTCTATCTCTCTCAACATGTCTTAATCAACTCATCTCATTTATTCATGACACTTATAGGTTTTGTTTGAACACATCTATTACAACTAGAACAATTTTCTGTCATTTTATCTTCTATCAGGAATATATCTAATTGTTTGCAAATGTAGAAATTTCATATTCCTTCTTCCTAGTGCGTTTACAGAGCAGCCTCATGTCTATTCTATCTTCTAAAGCTAAACAAGTTATTAAAACTAAAATCTTTCTATCTTCTTTTCTTCTCTTTCTTTTATTTACTAGCTAATGCCTCATATGTGTACTCGTAAGGTGTAATTTAGTGCAGAGGAATAGAGGATCCATCTAGTTATGAAATCCTAGATCAAGGGTATTCATACCCATCTTTTCTCTTGGTCTCTCTCAGCATAAAAAGCAACTGGTGGTTAGCATCAACAGGATGGAAGCTTCTCCATCTCTTCTTCACTGGACTAGCTGATTCCAGTTTAAATCATCTGAGCCCAGCCTATTTTTTCTGAGTTCAATACATTCCCCCTACCAACACCCATGTACAATTGTGTGAACACGAGTCCAATAGGGTGATCGGATAATTCAAATATCATAGGTACTAGCACTGACCAGTACTATGCTACTCAGTACCCACTAAAAAAAGGGGAACCAAGTAGAGTAGGAAAGAGGCATACCCACTGTCTGGTTTCTTGTTGACTTGGACTGAGAATCTTCGAGAGAAGCCTGCCTTTTCTTTATCCCTGTGAGACAAACCTTAAATCCTGCATTTCAAGGCCTTGAGCCTTAAAATCTTAAATGTAAAAAATAGCTGTCAATGGTATATTACCAAATGGTGTCTGATTTATTGTTCTGGGATGCCATTTGAGTCTAGAATAGCCTAATTTCTAAACTAATAATAGCTTTCTTTAAATGTAACTATCTTTCTCTTGCGCTGATATTGTTGATTGCACTACATAGCAAAACTTCAAATGCTCTCTGTCTTTCCTGTCCATTTTTTCATTTCTTATTTCTTTGTCCTGTTAACATTGCTTATTTAATTTGTTTTAGATGCTTTATCATGTCTGATTGAGTAGCAGTTCCTTTTTTCAATAGTTGTTCTGATGAGACATCATCTACCTTAAAGTCAAACTCTATATTGATCCGTAATTTATTATTATTTTATACACGATCTGCTTTGTTATCTCTAAAATATTGGATCTTTGTCCATAAGTCCCAAACACTACAATATGCATGCAAGGAGTCTTCAATGACAACAAGAAAAGGTCCTAGCATGCTTTATATTTCTTGTCTGTAATGTCTCCTTTCATAAATTATTATGTTTAAGCTGTTAACAGATTAAAATCCAAATTTCTTTTGTGTTTTAGTTGGTTTTGTGACACTAAATCTTGTATCTTAACTTCTCTCTTGCATAGATGCACTTCTACCGAGTCATAGTATGAAAAACCACATGAAAGCTTAACAGCTTGCATTTAAGTTCTACAAACTTGGTAATTCCTTTTCAACATTTTAAGGCATTTGCATTTTCTTGGCTTTTATAGGTTCAACAATTCTTCTTCGCAAACTTCCATCTATATTTGATGGAACTGCAAGATTGAAAGCACAACCACAAGATCACACTAAAGCTACTATGGCTCCAAAGGTAATGAAGGGTGGAAATGAAAGTTGATGGCTTAAGCAATCAAATTGCTTTTTTTTATTTTGTTTCAGATTTGATTTTTGGTTGATTTTTAGCAAGCCTTTGGAATAGGAAATGGAAAGTTGATTTTGTTTCAAAAGGTTCATTTTGGGTCAGCTTATTAGGCTTGGATCTGCATGTAATATTCATCAATGATGTTTCCAGGGAAGAAAATTTTTCTGATAAATAGCACATCAGAAAACCCTGTTGATGGGTAAACATCATGGTCAATAATTTGAATATAGAGGAGGTGCAGCAAATCTATGGAGCCATATATACATTCAGATACAAATCTTGGTGTTAAAATCAATGTTGATATACAAATTTATAAAAGTGACATTTTCCTGAATTTTTACATGCAAAAGCTGCAGAAGATTATGACCAATACAAATACCAAACTGCGACATGTTTAGATGCAAAAACTGCAATGTCAGAAGTTTGAAGGTGCTTTGTCAGCAAAAAGAAGACTGTAAGGAAGGCTCCCATAAGTGAATCTAAGGTTCAGAAAGCTTAATTGAGGGGGATAATTGGTAAGAGATGAAAGTATTTGAATGAAATAAAGAAGAAGACACGAAAAGTGGATATCATCATCCATCTTGGTTAACATGGTTCTATGTTAGATACAATTAGGTCAAAGAGTCAAACAAGCCACGAAGAGGCTAAAAGATAAATGTATAAGGAACTGTTATAGATAGTAGCTGTTGATACTTACCCAGTATGCTGAAGCAAGTAAACCAACTTTGTGCTGGCAACCATAAATTAATTTTTATAAAGATCTAGGTTACCTTATATTATCTTCAGATCATCTGAAATAAATTTTCAAAAAGCTTTGGTTGGTTATTTATGAAGTTTAAGAAATAAAAATGCAAAAGCTGTTTGACATTAGTTTTTGGTTCTCTTTTGATATAATAAATAGTCAAGCTTGATATTAATTGAAGGCTTAACTCTTTAGTTTCTGTTTAATACCTTTGCTGAGGTATCTCTATTGAAGTTAGTAATTTTAGAATGTCCTTACATTACACACAGTGATACCTCATCCTTTATTTCCTTTTTATAGTTAAGCAATGATGAATCATGGCTATCATTTGACCAAGAAGCTAAAGTGATACATAACAAGGTAAAGTTGATGTGTACATATTTATAAGTGATTATGAATCCACTTCTCATGGATTTCATTCACAGGTAAACATGGCAAGGTAAATATGATGAGTTTCAGTACATCTGTATTAGTGACTACGATACACTTCTCCAGGTACGGGCATTTGCAGGGTGGCCAGGAACTCGGGCCAAATTTCAAGTCATTGACATGAATGGTCATCCCAATGTTCTTGAGATAAAAATCATCACCACAAGGGTTTCTGATGCTTCTGGCTCAAAGGAAAGCAGAGATGAGATAACTTTTGTTGGAAGTGCATTGTTGGTTCCATGTGCCGGACATTCTTGGCTTGAGGTCTCTCTCTCTCTATTACACGTTCACACTTCACATTTGAACCTTTGTTTGGTAAACCATTATCTGATGATCCTTTTGCTGTTAACTTTACCAGATACTGGAGCTCCAGCCTCCAGGAAAGAAGGCAATGAGCGCTTGTGATTTTTGGAATGGCTTGCGGGGTCAGAAGCTGAAGCTACTGTAGGAGGTTATTCCAAAACTTTGCTATTACATGCAAAAGTTTCTCACTTTTTCTTTATTTCCGTTGGCCAACTGCATTTTCAGTTGTTTTCATTGGTCAGAAATTAGAAATGTGCAGCTCTTCTCATGACATGGCCTGACCTCATATCCAAGTTCCAATTTGTTATTGTCCCTAGCTTGTTAAAATAACCTTGCTTGAGGCTTCGTTGAAGGCTTCATATCTGAACAAAATTTCATTCATCTCTTCCATATTCTTTTACTGAAGAAAGTTCAACCTCCATGACTGCAGAGCTGGAGTTTTTTTAGATGTTATCGATGGTTCTTGTGCTTTTGATATCCGATGTTTCAAATTCTCTTTCTTTTTGGTGGACCAATGTTTTCTATGTTGCTGAAACAAAAAAGAAAAAAAAACTGTTATACTCTTGTTCTATGATCTTCACATCTATTCAGCACTTCAATGTTCACAACATTGGTACGACTTTCCAGCACAAGGGTCTCTTTTACTTTTAAATTTGAAACTACTATCAGTCTACCTGCTCTAAATTTTTATCTGCATTTTGTATAAACAACAAGTTCATTTTGGTGTTGTATGTCAAGGTTTACAAAACCGTTCGCTCTGGTTTGGTATAGGAGGATTTTATCAGTTTGACAGCTTCCTGACATGTAAATCAGGATAAACCAAATAGTATGCTCTGTACAGGACATGTACCAACTGATACGGGACTTCTACTGTTCAATACACTCAGTGCAGCATTTGCATCGCTCGGTATAGGACTTGTATCAGATAGTAACTTTATAATTTTTCAGTTTCTTTTCAGTTTTTTTTTAACTTGTCGTGCACTGGTACATTGACACATGGTATGCCTATACCTGAAACTAAAAACCTTATTAGATATGCTCACAAGCACACATCAAATATAGATCTTATCTTTAATGGTAGTTTGGTTTTCCATCTTCTGTTGGTTGTTCCATTCAAGATTTTTAATTTTGAATCATATCGCTCGTATCTAGCGGTACGTATCGATTCGCCAGTAGACTAGTATGCGGATCGCTCGCTACTTGGTGATACCGTCGATTGGGACTGTTTTCGTCTTATTACCACATGAAATTGATTAGTGAGATCGTCGCTGTCTCGTAGGTATTAACCGAGGGAGAAGGAAGAAGAGGGAGAAGGAGAAGAAAAGGGAAAATATGGAGATTCGACGTCGCTCTCCCTCAACGATATCGATCCGTCGTCGTCCTCTATCGCCAGGCGTCGTAGATGAGATGTTGCCTTCTCCTTGTTTGAGGCAACGACTTTTCCTCATCCGTGTGGAGAGAAGCCTCGACGACTTTGCGGGAAGAAGAAATGAGGCGACGTTGCGGGAAGCCTCGACGACTTTTCCTCATCTTGTTTTGGATCAAGCATAACTTGGGCCCCTTCATGTGCTAAGTAAGAATATGGAACTGATTGAAGTTTGTTATAATGATTTGTGGACTCCCTACCATCATTCTTACAGAAAGAGAAGACGGGCAATATGGTTGTTCTCTTGGGATGAGAAGCCACACTTATCTTGGCACCTTCAACACCTGCCCACAGTTCATGCAATCAATTCTCTGCTCCATGAGGCCAAACCCCTGGAGAACTTGAGATTGGAGGCAAATTCTTCATGTGGGTGTTTTTACCATGATTAGTTCCACATTTGGTGTCTGCTATGTTCTCGTTTTTTGCTTTCTGCAAAAAGGAAAACTACAATTTACCAGAGCAGGTGGAAAACTCTCCCCCATCCCATGTTTATTGTTTAGAATAAAGTCTTCTTCAATCTTAATTATGTTACCTAATTTAACCACAATTCTGTGAGGAACAACAAGAACATGATTCAAGAAAAAGAGTGGCCTAAATACATTGCTAGAATATTCTATATAACATGAGATTATAAGAAACTGATGGTTGCTATAGACTGAATGCTCTTATGCTTGCTTCTTAACTGCCTTCAGTTGCTCTCTCTATTACATCCCTTCTTTTGTAGGTCGACACCATGGGACACTAAACATGACAAGCATTCCAGAAGTTTCATGGTAGTGGAAGTTTACATTTATCTCTTGTTTCAGATATAAAGAAGGAAACCAACTCTTGTCATAAGTAAACATGACAAACCTTTCCATAAGTTTCATGGTAGAGGAAGTTTAGAAGACCATTCATCTTTTGTTTGAAATATAAAGAAGCAAAACAAGACGCAAGATTTTATTTGTTGATGAACACAAGAGTATAGCTAAGTCTTGATGTCAATTGTTAAACATATTGCAGTAGTAAAGTGGATTTTGAGATATCTCAAAGGGAGCTCTACGGTTTGTTTAAGCTTTGGAGGTGGACCACTTGTGTTGACAGGTTACACAGATGCAAGTATAACAAGAGATATAGATACGAGGAAGTCCACTTCAGGTTATGTACTTATTTTTGCAGGGGGAGCTGTGTCATGGCAATCCAGGTTGTAAAGGTGTATTGCTCTCTCCACCACAGAAGCAGAATATATTGCTGCTATAGAAGTATGCAAAGAAATGTTATGGATGAAAGAATTCTTACAAGAATTGGGGCTAAAACAAAAAAATTATGTGGTGCATTGTGACAACCAAAGTATCATCCATTTGTGTAAGAACCCAATGTTTCATTCCAAGTCAAAGCATATAGATGTCAGATACTACTGGATTCGAAATGTATTTGAAAAGAAGCAGTTGCAGCTTCAGAAAATTCACACAGATGACAACGGAGCAGACATGTTGACAAAGACCTTACCAAAAGAAAGACAGGAGATATGCCAATAGTTGGTTGGCATGACTTCACATTGAGGAGTCTTGGGACAGCCTCCCTTATGGGCTGAAGGGGGAGGTTGTTGGGTTGACAGCCCACATTCATCCCAAGGTGGGCTTTATCAGCCCACAGCTCATCCCCTCTTAACTTAACCCTAATCATATTAAGGGGGGTATGGTGGCTACGAAAATAAGCATAAAAGGGTAGCAACGAGGGCAGCAAGGTATATCTTGGCAACAACAAAAAAGAGGAGAAAAAGACAAAACTCCAAGGAGAAAGAAAAGAAAGAAAACAAGGACAACGTAGAGAGACTGTTCTAAATCATCCAACAATGTTCTCATCTCAGGTTAGATCAAATCTATAGTAGATTCTTACTGTTATTACTTAGAGAGAATTAGGGAGGATTTAGAATTTTGAGCATAGTGACGTGATCCTTGTATCCCTCTCTTGTGATTGTTGCTAGGATTTTCGGCAAGAGATTGAGATTTGTATATTCATTATTCTTATAGTGGACTATCTCTAGTTTACCTAATGGTTTTTACCGTTCACATTGGAGGGGTTTTCCACGTATATCTTGGTGTTTTATTTGATTGTGCTTCTATTTAATTCTGCTGCGTGTTATAATCTATTAGTATTTATTCATATATAAAAATTTATTCTTCTTTATATCCCATCGATATACTCTTAATGCAAATGAGCAAAACATCAATTAAAACACCACGATTAAAGGCCGATTGAGAATAGAATACTTTACGTAAGAGGGGAGGATCACATGGAACTCGATTTATTTTGTTGACTTTGACCAGCTATTGGTCTTTGTTTGTTTGTTCGTTTGGTGGAATCCTCCTCCATTAATGACGTTGCGAGGTGAACGTCATGGCAATATAGTTTCTTAAACAATATATTGTTTCTTAATAAACCTTGCAAGGTGGTGGACATATTTCATATTTTTATGTCTTCTTAAACAATAAATTAAGCCATCCTTAAAAAACATAATTGCATCAATATATATATATATATATATATATATATATAATCTTAATTTAACATGACAAATAGGGTGGAGACATGGCTTAGTCAACATTGTTCATTCCTTGTTAGCTTCTCTCTCTCTCTCTCTCTCTCTCTCTCTATCTATCTCTGTTTGAGAATAATGGACCAAGGCTTTCAGCAGAACCACCATGACCGCCACCTTCGTCGATAAAATCAATCTGTCTTCAATGGGGATGGAGAAGAGGAAAAGGACAGGAGAGGACGGAGGCGATGTGTGCGACGCAGAGGCAGACCGAAAAGGGGAGGAAGAGCACTAGGCGGTGACTGACGAAGAGGTGGTGGAGTTCTTCACCATCCTTCGGCGTCTGCATGCGGCGTCCAAGAGCCTCACCGGAAGAGGAAGCCACGGAGACAAGAAGAAGAAGAAGAAGAGGGAGGAGGAGGAAGCCAAGTAGAAGGTGAAGAGAGAGGAGGAGGAAGCCAAGTAGGCGACGAGGTGGCCTCCGCCGTTCACTTTGGAGGACTTCGATGCCGTCGGAGAGGGCAGTGTCAGCTCCGACGGAGTGGGAAATGATGGTAGGAGGGTGGCGGAGGAATCGATCCATTGTGATTTTCTCCGATTTTGTTAATTTTATTTCTTAAAATTAAGAAATAAAAGACTGTTGAGAAAAAAATTACATGCAAATCAATGATTGTACAATTATTGATGAACTTGTAATTTGTTTCCGACTTCTTTGGAACATCTCGTGAAACATTCTCTTCATTTCCAAAGCTGTGATTACTGTCTTTTAATTATTGAAGATTCAATCAAAATCTTTAACATCTTGGTTTGATAATCATTATTAGTTAGAAAAGAAACCTTTTGGTGTCCAAGGATGATCAAGATTAAATCTGTCATCCCCAAAATGTCCGGTCAACCTTGAACGTATCAATTGAAACATTAATAGGAATAGATGGGTTGGGGTTCATGTTCATCCTTGACTCTACTACCAAATTTAACATGATTTTTGTATTTTAAAATATCTAAAGCTGATGATGTTTATCTAAAATTAAATTATAATGTAAAAAACTTTAATACCAAAATTGAGATAAAAATTATAATATAAGAAATCTCGATGATAAGATAAAAATTATATATAAGTGAGAGTAGAGAGTAAAATAAAAATAATAATTATAAGACTCATCAAAGGTTATCTCTTAAGATTTTGAATTTTGATTGATATCTAAGTAAAATCTTTAGTATGTTATCGGGGCCACATAATCTAATAGTTTTTTTTTTCATTTTGCTTTTTTGAGTTTTGAGTTGAATCTTTTGAATTTGAGTTCTTTTCAGGCTAGTATTACAGATTAATTTGTATTTAATTTTGTGCTCAAATAATTTTTTAGACATAAAACTCTGACATTTTAATCAAAAGAAGAGCAGATTTAAGATGAATTGTGAGCTTAAGTCTCTTCCATTGAGCTCGACAAAATCTGTATGAAGCATTTAAGTAGCTGATTCAAATGAAGATGCCGATCCTTTCCTTATGATGAACCAAAGCATGCAATACAAAGCTTGGATTCAGAAATGGTGTTTGCGGTCTAACTATTTCACATTTAAGTTGGCGATAAGAGATGATACACAATAATCAAACAGAAGAGAAAATCGAAAGACTTCTCCCCTACTGTAGGATCATGATCGAGACGACAAAGAAGACATTTGGGTTCAAACAGATCTACATAGAGAATCCTACTTCCAATGGTTTCTCTCTCAGCATCAAACAGATCAAAAGCTCTGTATGCCAAGAATCTCCTGTTACGAAGAAATCAAGAACAAGCTTCAGGTGATTCGATCAATACAAAGCCTTCTCTCCTCTTCTCCTCATAACCTAGACACCAAGAACAAAGCTCTCTCTCTCTCTCTCTCTCTCTCTCTCTCTCTTCCTAGTATGCACAACCCACTTATTCAATGAACACTAAGGAACCGTAATATATATATGCTGGGAAGACCGACTCGGTTCATCTTCATCATCTGTTGTGGAGGGGGTCGGAGGAACTCGGTACCCTCCTTTTGCTATCTTCCATGCCTGCCGTCGGAAAAGGCCGGGGAGGTAGCGGTCCCCGCCCGATGAAAAACGCCTGGCCTCCACTGTGGCTCCCGGAGCTCGCCAGAAACAACTGAGGGCCAGCAGCTGCAGTAGTATTCTGGAAGTACAGCCAGAAGCTCAACAGTAGCTGCAGCGTCAGCAACAGCCCAACTCCTCCCTTCCTCCTCCTCGTACAACCGGCCGTCGACATCCACGCGATCGCACCGTTATCATTCCCGAGTGAGTCTCTTCGCCTGAGCTCCACCTGCAAGACGACGACGATTGTCCTATGTTTGAAATGAGAGGAGACGTGCAGTATATAGCTTGTCATGGGATGTGCGACGGATCTAACAGTTTCTTCGTTGCCATTGACGTTAGTATTAATATCAGGAATGCCATCCCAGGTTATCACTTTCATGCCATCAAATGCATAAAGCTTCAGTTTAATTTTCCTAAATGTCAATACCAGAATTTTCAGTAATCCCTTTTAAATCTTTGCAGAAAGATTGATAGGATTTAAATGTTGAATAAATACTTAAAGAAACATGATGTTTAATGTGTCCGTTTTCAGGATAATGTAATGACAATTTCGTATTTGATGAATATTATATGTTAACCAAAAACTTAGTTATAAATCAAAAGAAAACATTAAAGGTTTAAATTAAGATTCTAATGCATTAATTAGCTTCTCAGCTTCAAATGTAATATGTCGATAAGATATCATATCTTGATTTGCATATCAAATAAATGTTTCTTTTTATATTATGTATTTTCTTGTTGTTTTGTCAACTCATAATTAACCTGATCGACTTGACCTCATTTCTACCAGACCTGAACATATTGACTAGGGTTAGGTTTTCAAGCAAAGCGAATCAATCCTAAGCATCCTCACTAACATATCTTCAGAAATAAATGCATCAACTACTAGATATAGAACAATTGAATGCTTGTCCTTGTATACACATTCTGATAATACACACTGTGACTGTCATTGCACACTGTCCTTGGCATGGCAGAAGCCTGAGCTAAACCCAGCACTAAAGCTGATGGGTATCATGTATTGAT